ATCAATAAGATGAATAGTGAATTATGTTTGTGTTAGACTGATATACCCAATAATAAAATGTAAATAAATTTTTAAAAAAGAATGCAAACTTGCAGCACCAAAGCCGATGAGCAGGATCACCCACGTTGAAATCTACATACAGATGTCCCCAAATGGAAGGAAGAACCCTCTGGCTCAGAAAGAGACAGTATGTGAAAGCGGCAGACATTTCCATGCATCTCAAGTCTGGAAGTCTATATATTCAGGATGTAAACTGCTTGTCCCATGTAACACTGAACTACAACTCTGTAAGGGATGATCTTACAGCTGTGAAGCAGCTTTAGCCTCCATCTCCCCTTCCCCCCCATGATTGAACAGCATCATTAGAGAACACTGACATTTGATTAGTAGCAGACAGATCCGTTTAGCACAAATCCGGCCTCCTGGGAAGCAAGCTCTCCCTTTGATCTGCGCCATATATCCTTCCAAGAAAGCCGTCTTAACTAAACCCAGATAGGACTACAAACTGCTCAAACAATATTTAACCATCAGTTCCGGGAAGTGCCTCATTTAAACGAGGCTTACCATTTCAATCAGTTTAACCCAAAAGGAAGGAGGCTTAGATGAGATGCAAAAAACTGCATCCACTGAGCTACCAGCCACCAGGCCATGAGGTCTGCAAGAGCAAGCCCCAGATATGTGGAACTGGGAGGCCAGTAGGGTGACTATGTCCAGACTACAGAGATTGTTCCCTTGGAGGATATGGCAGAGTAGGAGGGCAGACTCTGGTATAACAGAGTCTATGAGAAACTGGAGTCCTAGAGTGATTTTGCATCTCCAACTCTGTACTACCTCCCAGGCACTGACTGCCCCCAAATCTCCAGGAATTTCCCAAACCAGAGCAAGCAATCCTGGCAATGGGGGGGGGGGGGAGAAGGAGGGAAGGGAAAATATATTGATGATTACCTTTGCTTTTGGCCTTTCAAGGGGTCGGTGTGGTGCTAGTAGGGTTGTTAGACTCCTGCTGGGGGTGGGGAATCCACTGTCCCCAGGGGGTGATCCCCACCTCTGTTCAGCTGACCAGTGTGTGTGTGGGGGGGGGGAGAATGCCACCAACATGGTGGAAGTCAGCAGTGTCTTGACATGCTGATGTCACTCACCACGCACCTGGAGGGGATGTCAGCATGTCACCAGCAAGGACCCCCACCACCTGGTAAGCACCCCCCACTCTTTGCCAGGGGTTGACCTGGCAACCCTAGGCGCCAGAGAGTCAACAATTTTTAAAACATATTTGGACACTTTCATTTTTTCTTCCCAGACTATTAAAGGTTGATACTAGGTTTATCCAATTACTCATGTCTGCCTGTCATTCGACACAGGATGTAGACTATCAGTGCAATCTGTTGCATGGTTATGCCTTTCCCAACCTGGAGTAACTCAGCACAGGATTACACTACTACAGGCCCTGAAATCAGGGTTTGCGACACCTTTTTCTTCTCTAAACACCTAGCCTGATGAGGAGTCCCGGAAAACTCAAAAGTTTGCATACTATTATATATTATTTTAATTAGGCCTAATAAAAAGCATGATATGGCTCATTGTTTGGGGATTTTCCTTTGGGCCAATTAAGCCACTTCTGTAGTGCCTTCTGAGGCATGGTGGATAGGGGCAAGTTTACCTATCAGCTTACCCTTCAGTCCTATTCAATAGCCAGCACACAGGAGACTGATAGTTTCAGTACAAGTCTCTTTACTGTTTCCAGCCAGGAGAGAACACTTACAGATGGAGAATACTTGGACACATACTGGAAGACTGCAACCAAGCAAGCAAGGCCCCTCCTATACAGGACTCAAAGGGGGAAACAAACCAGCTCTTGACGGCTCGCTTAAAGGTATACACACCACAGTGACCCTTAAGGCTTCTTTTTGCCAATTTCATGGAATGGGAAAAACCCCACCAACACTACAGCTTTTTAATATTCCTTTGCACACTCCTACGTGTTGGAAGCACTTTGCATGATTACCCAAGTACAGGCAAAACAGGGCTTGAACAGCAGGGCACAGCTGTGCCCGGGGTTGCTGCACAATCCCTTATCATCAGGTCTTGCTGGAATGAGGAAAGAGTTTTGTGTAGTTAACTGAGCTGGCACCAGATACTTCCTTCCATTTTTGTTAGCTAAATGTAGCCGAGATAACATTAGCGATAAGGGCAGACACCAAATCTCCTCTTGGTTGCACCAGCAGTAATCAGGAATAAGTAAACAGAGACATCATCTGAAACTGGTGTAAACCAGAAAACCCAGCTGCAGGGAAAGTTAGGACCATATCTGCCTCTGCAAAAATGGGGGAGACCCTTGCAATTATGCATTTCGCTACTGTTACATTGGAGCTGCGGTGGCTCAAGTGGTTAAGATGCTGAACTGCAGGCTGTGGAAGGTCGGTAGTTCAGCAGTTCAAGACCTGAGTGTGCCACATGACAGAGTGAGCTCCCGTCTCTAGTTCCAGCTCCTGCCAACATAGCAGTTTGAAAGCAAGAAATTGCAAGTAGATAAATAGGTACCACTTCAGTGGGAAGGTAACAGCATTTCGTGCACCTTGGTGTTTAGTCATGCCAGCCACATGACCACGGAAATGTCTTCGGACAGCGCTGGCTCTTTGGCTTTGAAACGGAGATGAGCACCGCAACCCTAGAGTCGGATTCGACCGGATTTCGAGCAAGGGAACCTTTACCTTTATCTTTTTACTGTTACATCCGATTTTTGCCCAGGCAAATGGCTTCAGAAAAGAAGTAGGGAAAATGAGGGAAGGTCACAGGAAGGCTAAATAAAAAGAAGTTCAGTGGCGCCTGAACAATATTCGATAGAGCTTGAGCTTTTGTGAGTCAGAGTTCACTTCTATTTGGGTCAGGGTGGAGAACTGCCATGGGAGACAGAAGACCTGCTTCCAGGCAAGCAATAAAACCTGGCTTGATACTACCTTGGCTTTCAAGGGCCAAACTACGCAGAATGCTGAAGTACCCATGACTCGATCTCCAAACATGCAATTTGGCCTCTAAAAGCTGGCTAAGAAAACACCACTCAATGCAAATTAGGGCTATGGCCCTGAGGAAGGAGGGATTACCTCACATGCACCCCTTTCCTGACTGAAAAACCCCTCCACACTGCTTCCATGGGAAGGGGAGACAAGCACAACAGCGGATCTTGCTTTGTACCCCCCCTCAATTTTCCCAACAGAGCCTGCCCCACCCACAGCTTTTAGGCCTGGCAGAGGGAGAAAAACAATACTGACACCAGGGCTAAAAGCTGCCCTCCCCAGGAAGAAGAAGACATCACATTTTCTGGACTGCATCACTTCATGTGAAGCTTTACTGCCACAGAAATGTGCCAAGAAGAAGAAAAGGCTGAACTCTTTTTCTCAACGTGCTGGCTTTGCATTGCGGGGAGTATTCAAACATGCTTTCCCCCCAGCTACAACCTGAAAGGATGTCACACAGGAAAAGCTTCATGGACTGGATCAACTAGCCCGACAACAGATTGTACTCATGGACTGGATCAACTAGCCCGACAACAGATTGTACTCAGCAGCCTTGCAGGATTTCAGGGCACCAATACATGAGGCAGACTTCATCCTTGGTACCTATGAATGAATGTCTAGGTGCATGTGCAAAGGCCCCTCTGCCTCCTGGTTTAAGTAAATCCAACCGTTTCATCCACTTTCATTTCAAGACAGGCGCTCTGAAGCTGCGGTGCAGCTAGGGTTGCCAACCCCCAGGTGATAGCTGGAGGTCTCCCACTATTACAACTGATCTCCAAGCAACAGACATTGGCCACTTTGGAAGGTGGACTCTATGGCATTACACCCCAATTGAAGTCCCTCCCTTTCCCCAAGCCCCGCCCTCCTCAGGCTGCACCCCCAAATCTCAAGGCATTTCCCAACCTGGACCAGGCAACCTTAGGTGCAGCTCTAGGTACAGGCTCATTTTATATACACAGAAGCCTCAGACATTTGACAACTAGTGTTTTTCTACATCTCAACTGCATGTTTTGAAAATGTTTTCAAAATATAAAAACTTAGATTTAAAACAAACAAAAGTTGGAACCCTCAAGAATCTAACAGATCCAGATTGCAAAGAAGAGATGATCCCCAAATGCTTGACTGGATGGCGGGACCTAGAACGCCACGTCTGCAAAGGCAGGACAGCTGCGGTCACCGACCAGCCGAAGCACTGAATGCTGGTAGGCAGATGACAGGATGGGGGGAGGGAGTCAGCCCTACCATTTTGTACACAAGCATTTTTTAAAATAACCTTGACCCTGCTTTAGAGCCTAGAGATTTAAAGTAGCTCCCAGATTCAAAACCACTATGAAAGGCAACAGTATATAAAGCACATTATTTCAATGGAACAACAATCAATTAAAATACCAGCTAGCAGATAAACTAGAGCTTCGTAGCTCAGCAAGTGTTTCTTTAAAAAGCAAAGCTGTCATCATCTACCTGAATGCAAGCCAGAGAGGTGCAGTGATTAGAGTACTCAACTAGGACCTGCGATACCTGGGCTCAAATTCTTTCTCTGCCATGGAGCTCACTGGGTGACCTGGGCAAGCCATTGTTTCTCACCCTGACCTATCTCACAGGGCTTTGTGGAGATAAAGTGGGAAGGGTCATGTACGCTGCCTTGAGTTCCTTGGAGGAAAGGCAGGACAAAAATGGCTGGAAAAGGCCCCAGAGAAGCTCCACAGAGCAGGCATTTCTACCTAGTTTCCACCCCTCCCCATAAAAAGTCCAGCCTTCCTTGGACAATTTTCAGACACTCAGGGGCACATGTCAGCACAAAAGCACCTTTGGATTTCCAGGCCCTGGACTGCTTTGTGATTCAAATGGCAAGGCCAGCACTGTCAACTGGTTATGCTAAGGAGTGACCACCAATGCTTGTTTTTCAGTTGCAATGGCCACCTAAAAGTCCTCAAGCTGCAGTGGGCAAGTGCAGCCCAACAGATTTTACACAGTTTATGTGATACTCACCACTCAAGGCCAATGTTGTATTCTCCAAGGCATGGCACAGGGCTAATAGAATACCTAGAAGGAAGAGAGGGAAAAAATCCAGGTTTTAAAAGGTACAACTGGGAAAGGAGAAAATCCAGGTTTTAAAAGGTACAACTTTAAAATGACGCTCTTTAAAACTGGCTGTCCATAATCTCACCATACCCATCAGAAGAAACATTTTCAAAGCCCCGGGGGGTTAGTTCTAGGTTGCAGATACTCCATGTATACCCACTGCTCACAGCTCACACACAAAACACTCTGCGGCAACTGAGCAAGTGCAACTCCAGTTTGAGATCTCAAAAAGGATTGCCAACCTCCAGGTGGAGCCTGGAGATCTCCCAGAATTACAACTGATCTCCAGATTATGGAGATCAGTTCTCCTGGAGAAAACAGCTGCTTTGAAGGGTGGATGCTATGGCGTTATAGCCCACTGAGGTTCCTCCCCTCCGCAAACCCTGCCCTTCCCCAGGCTCCACTCCTAAATCTCCAGAAATTTCCCAAACTCTAGCTGGCAAGCCTAGTCAGGAGACAATTGACATTGTGCACTGAAGTCGGCAGTCCTTACTTGGAAGCAAACCTATTGACCTTCTGGGTAGGAAGGGCCTGCACGGCTGAAGCAAGGTTCTTCAAAAGCACAAAGAGGAAAGAAACTCCACACATAATCAAGGACACACCCAAGTCAAACACCTGTCCCAGGTGTTTCTTATCATGAATTACTTCCTACTGCAGCAGTCTTATTAACAAAACCGATACAGCTCTTGGCAAGAGTACCTGAGCATTTAAGACAGACCAGAACAAAATAGTGGAAGCCTGGCCATGACTTTCCTAAGGCAAAGGCACAGTGGGTGGAAAGGAGCCCTACACCGCATCTTTGAGTCATTTCCTGTAATCCCTGGTAGGATTCTTGATCTCTATTGGCAGTGGGAACACACATCTCTAATCTTTGCTGGGCAAAACTGGCTGGTAGGGAGATTTGCAAGAGATGTGTCATGGGGAACAGAAGGGTAAACCACCCCTCTTCTGCCTACCACCCCCCCACCCACCCCCCCCCCCCTCTCTCTCTCTCTCTCT